CAACACGTAAGGTGGCAATATGTACATATGCAAAATGCACTGCAGCAACTTGCCAAGCCTCCTTCAGTAACACCTTCTATACCAGTAATGTCTAGTACTTAGAAGGCCAAGGGCAACAGACACACAGGAACACCACCAGCAAGTTCCCCTCCAACTCTCATATAATTCCATTTTGGAACAATATCGCCAATACTTCATTGTCACTTTATCAAAATCCTGGAACATCCTTCCTAACAGCATAGTGACTGCAATCACTCCAGATGCACTTTGACAAGTCAACAATTTGGCTCACCATCACCTTCTCGGGGGTAATTAAAATGCAAAACAACTCTTTTCACTTTTAACTCAGTACATGTGACAACAATAAATCAAAAATCAATTAGGGAGGAGAAACAAATATTTGCATAGCCAGTGTGCCCACATCATGCGAACAAACAATTTTTCTCATTTAAAGGAAGGTACAGATCTCCAACTTGTCCCCGATCCACTAGCATTAAGTAATGCTATGGTGGTAGCAATAATGACTAGTGGATGATGCAGAAACAACATTAAGAATATCACTACTGCTATTTAGCCATCTCCTTTTCTCCAGTTATGCATTTCACAGATGTCTGTGAATTTGTTTTAAAAAAGTGTATGTTTTGTGTATTTTTAAATAACTTCCTGTTTTAGAGAAGAGTCTAGACCCAAAATGTTAAGTTGCCTGTTATTACCATGGATGCCTCTTGAGCTAAACTTTACCAGCATTTTCTGCTTTTATATTTAATATTAAGAGAATGACTTTTGTTTTTATTTGCTCCAGAGATAGTGCCGTGACTTTCTTTGTCCTGTTACGACAAGGAACTAAAAAACAAAAGTCCTCTAGAAAGCTGAGGCAAGATTGCATAGGATTTGAATAAACTCAATAATCATGACTAGTAATATGAAAGAAAAATTATAAAACTGAATACTATAACGTACAAATATATTGATTAATGTACTTTCAATGAATACTAATTTCTTGGAGAACAGCGAAATATATGTTTCATTACTCCCTGCTAACAAAGTAAAATACTCCACGTCACAACACTAACACTGTAAAATTGAATCCCCTTTAGCATAGCCTATTCCAGAGTACAGAGTCCCACTTGCATTATGTAATGGGTTGCACAGCGCTGACTGCAGTGCAAAAAACAATTACTGTACACTCATTTCTGGATGCGGATTCTGAATGCAACATCCGAGGATGTCACACTGCTCACCTACATGGGTGAGCTGAGCATTTAGTCAACCAGCAGATGGTGAAAAAAAAAACCGAAAGCAGCCTTAGTGGAGCAGCATTCCTATTTTGTTTTTAATATACCTGAAGGGAAGGCAATGGCCTGGTGGTATTATTGGCAGACAGTTAATCCAAAGACCCAGGCAACACCATGGCAGATGGTGGAATTTGAATTCAATAAATATCTGGAATTAAGAATTTAGTGATGACCACAAATCCATTGTCAATTGTTGGGAAAACCCATCTGGTTCACTAATGTCCTTTAGGCAAGGAAACTGCCATCCTTACCTGGTCTGGCTCCAGACCCACAGTAATGTGGTTGACTCTTAACTGCCCTCTGGGCAATTAGGGATGGGCAATAACTGCTGGCCTAGCCAGTGACACCCTCATCCTGTGAACGAATAAAGAAGAAAAAAAGAACCACCGAAATCACTGGTTTCATCAGCAGCCACATGAGAAGCAAATTCACCCAATATGGACAGAATGGAAGAATTGCATTTATATAGTGACTCTCACATTCAGGATCTCGCTAAGCACTTTACAAACAAATGAATTATTTTTGTTTTGTAGTGACACATGACAGTCATAAACTTCGCACAGCAAAATCTCACGCATTAAACTGTTTCTTACGGCGCTGGTTGGGGAATAAGAAACTTCGGGATATTACTAGGGCGGTCTACTCTTATCAAAAGATGCTGCGGAATCTTTGACTTGGACAAATAGATGAAGCCTCAGTTTAGCATGAGGCCTTCAAAAAAGCAACAATATTCCTCAGCCATGCAGTCAAATGCACATGTCCGTTGAACCTACAACCCTCTGAATCAAGAGCACTTCCAGTGAGTCAAGTTAACATTTTACACTCCAAAGAGTGCATTCACATAATGTTACAGTTGTGAGAAAAATCTTCCGCGTCCAATTAATTTTTTGCACAAGCACACTGATTGGTTTTCCTGTGAGGATTCCATGTTAGCAACTTCTGAGGAATGGCATTCTTTCGCTTAACCTTGGCTTTCAGCAAGCTTCTTCCATCCCCAGCTGCTCTCATTCTTTTAAAACAGTGTTGAGAGCTAAAACCGAACGAAGAACTTCACCTTTCAGCACCTTTAAGTTATCATAATAAAGTCTTTTACTTGTCTTTATGACTCTAAAAGTAAATATGCAAATATTTTCCCCAAGAATACACAAGAAAAAAAAAATCATTCTCCAATTATACACTGATGCATTCTTTAACATGTAGAAAAATTCCATGCTGATTAGCTGCAACCTTGCAGTCTTGTAGTATTTGATTCAGATCCATGTTATCTGCTCTAATCAGAGCAGTTCCAAGCACCCGTAACCTGAGGCTTGTTTAGTGAACAACGGAACACAAACAAGACAAGCAGCTGGAGTGGCCCCCGTACTCGCTGGTGCGCATCTTTCCCCTTGCAGCGATGAAGGCCATTTTGTCAAGCAGGAGAGAGAGGAACAAAAGTGGCTCTGAAAACACTGTTATAGACAGGCAGATAACAAAGTATAGATGTACAGCTAAAATTACCAATTAGTTTACCAATTGGCTGCAACGGATTCGATTGGTTTGTAATTAATTCTAGTTACTGGCGCATACAGCAGGATGGTTGGCGCCAACCCTTTGTCCTGCTGACACACAATACCAGTACACAAGACCCAAGGGTCCTGGACATCAATACCTCTCTCTGCCTCACCTACAGCAGCCAGTGCAGAAGACATATCCTGTGGTGCTGAAACAGTGGAAAGTTCTACTGCATGAGAAGGCGCTGACAAGAAAGAAGTCTTTATGGGCTAAGCTGTGTAATAGCAAGCTTCATGCTAAAATAAACTCCATTGGATTGTCGTAGAGGTTGCCTCGTGTATGAAGGGGATTTATTTTCCGAAGGTCAAGCCTGCCACACAGAAGCAACACTGAAAAACAACTTTCAGACAAATCATCATCCACCAGGGCATTCTTTTACCTAGAAAATTGATCATCCTTTTCATTTCTTTCACGGGGAATGTACTATGACTGGGGCAAACAGCAGACTCATTCATAACAAAATGTACAGGATATGTAACACACACCAAAGTTATCTTGAGATGGTCCAATGCAAATAGTACTCTAATTTGCAAAGAAAGTGAGAGTTGTAAAAGCACATTTGCTTTGACAAGAACAAACTTTGCAACAAGACAAGATAATTGATTATTGCTTTTCTTTCTGTTTCCATTTCGGAGAGAGCTAATTTGAGGGGGTCACATGTGCTATACGTCATAGCAAAGAACAACAGCAAAGGTTCACTTTATTAGATCATAATTTCCAACTTTTTTGAAAGGGAACTTTAATTAAGGTCATAGGGTTTTCAGTGGACAATTATATTCTTTCATCAGGTCTGGCAGCATCTGTGAAAAGAAATCAGCGTTAACGTTTCAGGTCCTGTGACCCCTGAACCCAGACCTGAAATGTTAATATTGATTTCTCTTCACAGATGCTGCCAGACTTGCTGAGCTTTTCCAGCAACTTCTATTTTTGCTTCTGATTTACAGCATCCACAGTTCTTTTGGTTTTTATATTCTTTCATCCTTTGTTTACGTGATGTGTTTTTGAAAAATCTAAGATTTTTACGTGACATAGTCACAGGAATTTTCATTTTTTTTGTTTCCCATTACATTTTTGCGGGGTTCTGATATCTACATTACGGACCCCACCCATATAGAATTACAGATAACAAATGGAAACAGGTCATTTGGTTCAACCTCTCTACGTTGACATTTACTCTCCACACAAGTCGTAAGCTCACTTGCCTGTTCAGTTCTTAAAACCCTTTTATAGGCTTTTCTCTTTTAACATCAATTCTTTAACGTTAACATGACCCAAGCTTTAAATCCCCAACCTCTGCATTAATTCGCAACCCTCTGTAGAGACAATTTTCCTGCTGTGTCCTGAATCTTTTTTTCATTAATCTTGTATCAATGTCTTCTTATTCTGGACCATTTACTCACGAGATTCAGTATGTTTCTAACCATGAGAGACAGTAAGAACTGCCGATGCTGGAGTCTGAGATAACACAGCATGGAGCTGGAGGAACACAGCAGGCCAGGCAGCAGGGGAGCAGGAAAGCTGACATTTCTGGTCGGGACACTGCTTCAGAAATTGGGGGAGGGGAAGGGGGTTCTGAAATAAATAGAGAGGGGGGAGGCAGTGATAGCAGGTAAGTAGTGGTGGGGATTGGTCAGTGAGGTGGGAGGAGCGGATATGTGGCAGAGAAGACAGGCAGGTCAATGAGGCGGGGATAAGAACGGGGGTAAGAACGGGGGTGGGGAGATTTTGAAGCTAGGAAAGTCCACATTGAGACCATTTGGTTGGAGGCTTCTCTACATCGGTGAGACCAAGCAGAGGCTCAGAAACCGCTTTGTAGAGCACCTATGCTCAGTTCGTGACAAACGACAACACCTCCCAGTTGCGAACCACTTCAACTCCCTCTCCCACTCCCTGGACGACATGTCCATCCTGGGCCTCCTCTAGTGTCACAACGATGCCACCCGAAAACTGGAGGAACAGCACCTCATATTCCGCCTTGGAAGCCTACAATCCAATGGTCTCATTGTGGACTTTACAAGCTTCAAAATCTCCCCACCCCGACCTCATCCCAAGACCAGCCCCCACCCCTCTCATCCCCGCCTCGTTGACCTGTCAGTTTTCTCTCCCACCTATCTGCTCCTCCCATCTCACTGGCCAATCCCTACCACTCCTTACCTGCCATCACTGTCCCCCGACATTCTCTATTTATTTCAGGGCCCCCTTTCGCCCCCATTTCTGAAGAAGGGTCCCAACCGGAAACGTCAGCTTTCCTGCTCCTCTGATGCTTTCTGGCCTGCTGTGTTCCTCTAGCTCGACACAGTGCTATCTTATGTTTCTAACCATTCTGTCCCATCCCTACATCATTTTACATATGTCCATCAAGTTACCCTTTAAACTTTCCTGATCTCAAAAAAAAAACTGGTTTCTTTTAGGTTTCAAAAATCTTCTGTTCAAACCCAATACTATACTTTGCATCACTAACTTAATCACATGCTTGTAATGTGGATTGATAATTGCTTTGAAGATTGAAAACCAAGAGCAAGGGTATAGAGTTTAACTGATTGACAGGATGTGACAAGTGCAGTGCCCAATGGATGCGTGCTGGGAACACAGCTTTATGTCATATATAAATGATTTGGATGAAGAAACAGAAGGTACATTCCCAAATTTGCACATGCATTAAATTAGGAGGTACAATAAGTTGTGTGGATGGAAGGAGGAAGTTACTCAGGGAGACAGACAGACTAAATGAGTGGGCCAAACCAAGGAGAATGAATTTCAAAGCAAAGGTTCGTTAAATTGCTTCCCATCAACGAGAGTTTTTTAATTCATTCATGGGTTGTGGGCCTTGTTGGCTGGGCCAACATTTATTGACAATCCCGACAGCCCACTACCCTCTTGAACTGCTAAAGTCTTTAGCGTGTAGAACACCCAGAATGCTGATTTTTTTGGGCGGTCGTGGGGGGGTGAGGGGTGGTGCTCCAGCATTTTTACCCAGTGATAGCGAAGAACAGTGACACAGTTCCAAATCACAATGGTGTGGGGCTTGGATGGGAACTTTAAAGGTGGTGATGTCCCCATGCATCTGCTGCTCTTGCCGTTCTACATGGTCGAGGTCCCAGTTTCAAAATTGCTGTTTAATGGATCTTAGTGAGGGTGTCCTCTGATGACAGGCTGATTAAACTGGATTATATTCTCTGGGTTCTAAAACAATTAGACGAATTCATAGCGACTTACTAAGATTCTGAAGGGGCTTGATACGATATATGCTGAAACATTATTTCAGATTCCCAGACCAGCAAAAACACCAAGGTACCATCTCAGGATAATGGGCTGATTGTTTAGGACTGCAAATGAGGAGAAATCACCTCAGTCAATGGGTTGCGAGTGTACACAACCCTCTGGGTTAAAAAGTTCTAAACAGATTCACAACCCTTGAATTAACTAATTTCACCTCATCTCAGTCCTAAATGATCAGCCCTTATCCTGAAACTGCCTCAGTATTTTAGATATCCCACCAACAGGAAGCAATCTCTAGGCATCTACCAGATCAAGCTCCTTCTGAATCTTATATATCTCAACGAGATTACCTCTCATTCTTCTAAACTCTGGAGAATATTAGCCCAATTTACTTAGCCTTGCATCACAATACAACTCCATCATCTTAAGGGACCAACTTAATGTAGTTCCACTTTGAACAGTAGTCCCCATAGTTGGTGTCAATGGGATGAAGACAAATTACTTCACTGAAAGGGTTGTGAATTTATGAAATTCTCTACCCCTGAGGATTGTGTATGCTTCATCACTGAATATATTTGAAACTAGGATAGACAGATTTTTGATCTCTGTGGGAATCAAAGGAGCAGGCAGGAAGGTGGAACTGAAGCCCAAGATCAGCCATAATCATAAAGAATGGTAGACCAAGCTCAATGGGCTATATGATCTATCCCCACTCCTATTTATTGTGTTCTTGTGAAGCGCAAGATTATCCACTTTGAATTTGAGAAAGACAAATCAGAATATTTTCTTAATGGCAAGAGAACAAAATGATTGGGTATCCACATACACAAATTATTAAAGGCTAGTGTGCAGCTACAAAAAGCAAATCAAAATGCTGATCTTTTTCTCATGGATAACTCAATGATGCTTTAGTTGGGGACAGCTTTGGTCATACTCCATCTGAAGTTCTACATTTGGTTCAGGGCACCAAACATCAAAAAATATATTGTGGCTTCAGAAAAGGAATCTCCAGAAGATATTAGTAATAGTAGAGCACAGGTTCACTCAGAATGATACTAAGACCTTTAAAAAAGGCTTAAATTATGAAGTGAGAAGTCACATGACACCAGGTTATATTCCAACAGGTGTATTTGAAATCATAAATTGTGATTTCAAATAAACCTGTTGGACTATAACCTGGAGTCATGTGACTTATGACTTTGTCCACCCCAGTCCAACACTGGCACTTCCACATCATTAAATTATGAAGCAAGTTAAATAAACTTAAGTTGTACTTCAAGTTTTAAAAAGTTGGGGAAAAATCTAATCAATGAATTTACAATGATTAAGGGAGTCAACAGGATAGATACAGATAAACTGTCTCCTCTGGTGGTGAATCCAAAAAAAAATGGCATATAAACTGAAAATTACAGCTAGGCCTTTTACAAGTAAAGCCTGGAAGTAGTTTTCCAAACAAACTGAGATAACAAGGTTTAGAGCTGGAGGAGCAGGAAGGCTGACGTTTCCAGCCTAGACCCTTCTTCAGAAATGGGGGAGGGGAAGGGGCTTCTGAAATAAATAGGGAGAGAGGGGGAGGCGGCAAGAAGATGGATAGAGGAGAAGATAGGTGGAGAGGAGACAGACAGGTCAAAGAGGCGGGGACGGAGCCAGTAAGGGTGAGTGTAGGTGGGGAGTTAGGGAGGAGATAGGTCAGTCCAGGGAGGACAGACAGGTCAAGGGGGGGCGGGATGAGGTTAGTAGGTAGGAGATGGGGATGGGGCTTGAGGTGGGAGGATGGGATAGGTGGGAGGAAGGAAAGGTTAGGGAGGTGGGGGCGAGCTGGGCTGGTTTCGGGATGCGGTAGGGGGAGGGGAGATTTTGAAGCTTGTGAAGTCCACATTGATACCATTGGGCTGCAGGGTTCCATCCCTCTCACCCCCTCCCCGCAATAACAACCAAAACAGAATCCCCCTCGTCCTCACGTACCACCCCACCAACCTCCAGATCCAACGCATCATCCTCCGACACTTCCGCCATCTGCAATCCAACACCACCACCAAAGACATTTTTCCCTCCCCACCCTTATCTGCTTTCCGGAGGGACCACTCTCTCCGGGACTCCCTTGTCTGCTCCACACTCCCCTCCAGCCCCACCACACCTGGCACTTTTCCCTGCAACTGCAGTAAGTGCTACACCTGCCCCTACACCTCCACCCTCACCCCCATCCCCATCCCAGGCCCCAAGAAGACTTTCCACATCAAGCAGATGTTCACCTGCACATCTGCTAATGTGGATTTCTGTATCCGCTGTTCCTGTTGTGGCCTCCTCTACATTGGGGAAACCAAGCGGAGGCTTGGGGACCACTTTGCAGAACACCTACGCTCGGTTCGCACTAAACAACTGCACCTCCCAGTCGCAAACCATTTCAACACCCCCTCCAATTCCTCAGACGACATGTCCATCCTGGGCTTACTGCAGTGCCACAACGATGCCACCCGAAGGTTGCAGGAACAGCAACTCATATTCCGCTTGGGAACCCTGCAGCCCAATGGTATCAATGTAGACTTCACAAGCTTCAAAATCTGACCCCCCCCACCGCATCCCAAAACCAGCCCAGCTTTTTCCCGCTTCCCTAACCTGTCCTTCCTCCCATCTATCCCCTCCTCCCACCTCAACCCCCACCCCCATCTCCTACCTACTAACCTCATTCTGCCCCCTTGACCTGTCCGTCCTCCCTGGACTGACCTATCTCCTCCCTAACTCCCCACCTACACTCACCTTTACTGGCTCCATCCCCACCTCTTTGACCTGTCTGTCTCCTCTCCACCTATCTTCTCCTCTTTCCACCTCCCCCTCTCTCCCTATTTATTTCAGAACCCCCTTCCCCTCCCCCATTTCTGAAGAAGGGTCTAGGCCCGAAACGTCAGCTTTCCTGCTCCTCTGATGCTGCTTGGCCTGCTGTGTTCATCCAGCTCTACACCTTGTTATCTCAGATTCTCCAGCATCTGCAGTTCCTGCTATCTCTTTCCAAACAAACTGTTGTGAAAATGTTGGAGTCAAATCCCTACAAGTCTGTGAATGCTGGGTCAACTGAAATTTTTGGAATGGATTGACAGTTTTTAATTATTCTGAAGAGATTCAGGTTTGATGGACCAGCTGATCTTCACCTGCCAGTCAATTTTACAAATGTTTCAGGCCACCAGGATATAAAATAAAGCAGACAGTAATTGAAGTTGACACAAAGATCACCCACAAATGGTGGAAAGTTTTGAGGGCTCAATGGCCTCCTTCTGTTCCTATATCAATTTTCCCACTATACATTTTCATTCAGCCATACTTGTAGTCTCACAAAAACGTTAAGTTCTTTCCATTATCAGCTAAAGACCTGACATTTTTCATTGTTTATCAATTAACCATTTAGTTTGTCTCATGTTCTC